AAGTATTGAGTTGTATACTCAATGATATAATTTTATGAGTTACTTGTTATTTGGACAATCAATCACATTAACTCCACAAATATATAAATTATTGAATTCATGAAATAAATTATATTTAAGTATTTTAATATAATCAATTTACTTCTATATATTGTTTACCTTAAAGTTTATATATATGCTATTACATACAACTCTTTACATCTCTCAACATTGTAATAATTTTTTTTTCCCAGTTCTCTCTTCTTACATTCTTATATTTTAAACCTTAATACTCGCATTCCAAAATTTAAAAAAAAAAAAATCAGAAATTGATTTTCTTTCCTCTATTATGGGTAATAATTATAGGGGAACGGGCACTTTGGAAGAAGGCATGCTGCTGGCCGACAAGATGATGCATACACCCATTATGTTCGAATATGATGACAAGTGACCCACACCTAGTAATTTGTCAAAGAGGATCAATACTTAGTAATTACCCTATTATTCGGTAATCACTTCCTCCATAATTTCATTTTGTGTGTTTCCGTGTTGAGAATTATTTTTGTTGGTTGATTAGGATTGAAATTTAGGATTCCAACACCTCAACTAATTAAGGAAAACAACAGTATTTAGGTTTGTACAAGAGGAGCAATGAATTGAATGGTGACAAACAGAGCATAGGGACCGACCATTATGATTAGAGAATCACCGACTACAATATTTGCTGCGATTTGGGTTTCATCATGCCCAGTCGGTGGCCGCACCATTTGACTCATATATATGCTTCGGTAAATAATTTCTTTTGTAAAATATATATGCAAGCTCATATACATTCGAGAGACTTAACCCACTTACCTCTCTTGTAGTCACTTCAATCCTTTCCTATCAGACAAATGTATATATGTTGACTATTGAGGCATTCAAACGGTCATTTACCTAAAACCAAACTTGAAGATTCAAATTCTCCTACTACCAAAATCCTTATCTTCAGCACCATGGAAGCATGCTGCTGAAAGTGCTTCCCATGTCTTTCAGTAATATGGCTTTGTTTGTTAAAAATTTTGTTGGAAAAGGCTTGGTAAGTAATACATTGCCAACCAAAATTTTGTTGCTGATGTATTAACAACAAAAACTATATTGCTAAAAATATAGTATCAATAATATAACTTACGTTGTTAAAAACATTCACTGGAATTCGATGGGAGTGGGTGGTGAATTTTCTTACCCTCTTCAGTAACATAACCCACCTTACTAAAGATAGGGTTTCAGCAACGTAGCTCATGTTGCTAAAAATTGAAAGAAATATGACTAGAATCCGACACCGAAATTTTGCCTACTTTTCAACAAGAAAAGCCATGTTGCTGAAACCATATTTTCAATAACATGGCTTGTGTTGCTAAAAAGTAAGGGGGAGAATGTCCCCAACCTTTCAGCAACATAGCTCTTGTTGCTGATGTTCCCTCCAATAATACCAACCACATTTTCAGCAACACACCCCTTCTTACTAATGTTTATTCCTATGGCACCAACCACAATTTTAGCAACATACCCCTTGTGGGTGATGTATCAAAATACCTAATTAAAAAAAATTATACCTTTATATTCATTTATATGATAATAAATATATTACATTAATTTTTTATTATCA